GAAAAAAATAACAAAAAGAAAAGCTGTATTTGTGTCGACGGAATGTTTGTTTGGTATTATTTATAAAACAATAAATAATATTGTTTCAAATTTGTTAGCGTTTTAATTCATTCGTATAAAATCTTAACTTGAATACAAAATATATAAAATATTGTGTGTATCAATGAAAATTAATTAAATAATGAAAATAAATTGATGGTTCTGGAAAAACCAGAATTTTTACCTGGAATTATCCTTGAATTGACTAATCAAATTTTGCTCAACATATTTGAATAGAAGATAATTCTAAATGTTAAAGACGATAGTCTCCTAACCGCTTTCTAAAACCTTCTGGCTAACTACTTTATCCGTGTCTCTGGATTTCCGGCGTTTTGACTTAAACAGCAAACAAGATTATCGCGTTAAGGCGTATAGGATACACACCCACTTTACGGTAAATTGATTTCGCGGCCGAAGATGACAGCAAGCCAATCGGTGCGTCGGCTATTTCCGTCGGAAATACATCGGCTAACGGCCATTTATTAACCGTTGGAATAATTGCCTAGAGTTATAGACGGATTATCATCGCATTTGCTCCTCTCACGTTGACCCGAATTTTCCTTTCGTTTCTGGAATTTCAAGCGAAATGAATTAAGAGATGCGTGGCTGGGATATTGAATTGAGCGAATCATTTTTTCCACTTGTACGGATGGAAAGAGAAAAAGCGAGATTAAAATATCTGCGAAAGTATATCCGATATAAAGTTCAATTACCGTGTATATATTTTTGGTGCAACAGAGACAAAAGAATTAAAATTCGATAAAATGATATCCGAGCAGAGAGGTCATGTTACACCGAGTTTTTATTTTTGTATGGATCTATATTTTCTTACTCTTCAACATCTAATTTCATTTTAATTTAAATAGCGGAAAGCGAACAAGTTCATCGCCAATTATATGATCGACCACGTCAGGCGTTCAATCTACTCTTGACCCGTATCGCTTTTATTATCGCTTTCACTCGATTAGTTTAGTTCGTATCAGCTTTCGAGAAGTTCCAAATGTAGCAGAACGCGTATCACTTCAGCCTTGTGTAACAACCGAGTAATTAAGTGTACGAATTTGAAATTTGAGACACAATAAAAGAGCACAAAATGAAAAAGCAATGAACAAGCACAAAATCGTGCAATTCTGCAGAAACAAGTTACAAGTGATTCTAATTGAGATAATCAGAATTCTGATTGAGAGATATGATCAAAGATCTCCTGGTTCGTTTATTTTTAATTAGAAATTTTTCTCAGTATGGTCTACCTGGTTTCCGAAATAGGTTTCATTTAAAAAGTATTCGGATTTATGATACTTTTTAAGGAGTTTTTGGAAAAATTGATTGTACAATTGAGAAATTCATATTTGTACGTATAAAATAATTCTTTCTAGAGAAATTTTAAGAGCGAGTCAGAGCCGCTTCGCAATTCTTAAACAGTTCATCGCGATTCACGAGTCCCGCATCCGATCGATCGTTGCCGCACCGAGGAAGTTCGCTGTGGGAGACTCAAGCGAGATTGGGTGCGGGGAGTGAGCCCGATTGGTTAATCGTTTTGCAAGAGCGTTTCACCGAGCGACGAGATCAGGCTTGGGACACACTCCGCTCACGAACGATCGAAAGAGTGCCCGATTTCGCGATGGAGGAGAAGACGACTTGCGCAGTCTAAAACAAGAACATATAAATATGCGCAATATTTTTTTTTCAAGAAAATAGATAGAGAAAAGAGGGGGGGGGAGTAGATTGATCAGTTTGTCATTGATTTTTGGGATGTGTCGTTTATTCAAGTAATGTTTGTTTCTAGAAAATTTACTTTAATATTTAGTTTAATTTACTCTTTACAGAATTAGAAAAAAGTACAGAGTAAGTTGAACTGAAATTAAAATGAATCTTGATAGAAACAGACATAGATGTTCATCGAGAAAATTGTGATGTAAAATTATACGTTTAAATGTTCGCGTTGTAAATATTAATAGTATTTATTGTGTATCTGCATTTATTAAAAATTATAATTGAATATAATGTAAAATAATATAAATTTAATTATAGATTTTCTCGATGTTTTCATGTTAAGAGATAATACTGAGAAGTTTTAACATAACACGTGTTATTTTGCGATAAATAAAAAAACATAGATTTTTAAATGCAGAAGTAATTTTGCGGTAAACAGCAGGCATTTAAAGATATGGAACGTCTTAATATGCGTATATAACAAAATGAATATGCTAGATATACATATTTCCTGTTTCGTTTTTGCACTGCGAACAACTGATATCGGTATCTCGTCCTTTGCCATGAATAGAGTTTAATGCGACACGTGGAGCAAACGCATCGGCTCGATGGCTCGAGCAGCGCCGTTTTCGCTTGCAGCCGTTGCAACATCGGATACGACGATCGCATGTGCAAGCGGCGCGACGGGGTCGATTTCTTATATTTAGCGTCGGCTAGATTAATAATTTATAGCGTCGCTCACGACGACATAACGCGAGTAAATTTAACATTCGCGACTCTCTTCCGCTGTCCACCGATTGCGACCTATACGGATATTGACGCGGAGGGGCAGGTTCCCGATAATTAAATCCCGAGATAATTCTGTCCAGCTCGTGGTGGAAGCAGTAGCGTTCCGTTTATCCAGATGCATGAACGGGTATTGGATTGCATTAAAAATTGTAGATTATTAAGAAGGTGATACGCAGGCACGCGTGAAGGTCGCATTCTTGTATGTGGTACTTTTACGCTGCATTTTTGCCCATCGAACCTGATCGTGATAGGTTGCTAGGAGGAAAAAGTGGGTTTTGTTCTGCTAAAACTCTTCCTAAATCCTTGTCACTGTTGCGTTAAATATAATGATTTAAAAAATGCAAAAGAGATCTAATTCCGTAAATAGCATTAATTTTATATCGCGTACCTTATTTTTGCTTTTTTGGAGCATTTTAGGATTAATTTTAGTTTCTCTCTCTGCTTTCGAAAGGAGACTTGCAGTATTGAGATTGCGAAGAAATATTTACAAAATAACAAGGTAAATTTTTAATTTTTTTAAAAATTAAAAATTTATTAACAAATAAATCTAGCAACGCACAGGCTCTTTTTCGAGTTAATTAAAAATCTATTTAGCTGCCCACGAATTTACGTTAATGTGCACAAATAGGTAAATTTTTCATTTAACTTCAAGTAAACTTTATTAAATGTTTATTTTAAATAGGATTTTGATGTAACATTTACTACTAACAATAAGATATATAATTGAAAATTTAAGAGATTTTTTAATTTTGAGATATGTAGGTGTGGTCTTCGATATTTTATTTGCGCTAATAAAAAATTAACTCCTCGAAAAGGATGGTTGAACTATCTAAAAATTTAGTTTGATACAGATCTGAAAATAATTTAAGTGGACCATCAAAAAATAATTACGTCGAATATTCAAGTTGTTGAACGATCAAAATTTTCTTGCAGCATTAATTGTCATGCTTAAAATCGTTATGTAATTATTTTAATAGTTCAACAAAATTATTTTCAGATCTATATCTACTAAATTTTTTTAGATATTTCAGTGTTCTTTCCATGTTTATATAATAAATTTCCACTATTTGTGTGAGCTTTGTTCTATGATGTTTGTATTTTTAGTTTATTGACTGGTTCTTTGCTGAAGCTGCAAAGAGAAGAGAAGGTCTATTTATTGGTTTCTTAAAAGAAACGATAGACTTCGCAACACAATCGAGCGCGATTCCCGCGAAGTCCCGGGACTTTCCTCAGACCGAATCCGCGAATCGAATTACCGAATCCGACGATGACCGCGTCTGGCGAAAGGAAGTCCGTTAGGTGTGCATGAGGGATGCCTAACTGTGTTCGTCGAGGGTCTGAGCCTCGGTTCCGCGAGGTTTCCTCTCCTCTGCAGGTCTTCTCGCGCCTTCTATCTCGCACCGCGGCCTCATCGATTTGCGCGGTCTCATCTTGCACCGGTAACACTTGGAAAATCCAATACTATCATTATTCCGTCGTAAAAGAGGAAGAAAAATACACATTCTGAATATCACATCTGGATCAAACGTTATTTCGTGAATATTCTTAAAACACTGCAGGCAAAAATGAATATTACTGATATATAGAGTAACTAAGCTAACTGTGGGTGAATAAATTAGAAAAATAAATTTGAAAAATAAACTAATTAATAAGATGAAAATAATCAAGGACCCTTAGTATAACAATAATAATTATTATTGTTAAACTAATTAAATGAAGATTAAACTTATATTATATTAGATTAATGCTTATTGTTATAATGTAATTCCGTTTTTTGCTTAATTAGATGTGTTTCTCTTTATCGACAAGTGAGAACGCAAAACGGAAAATTGCATCGTATAGTGAATGTATAAATGTAAAATTCCATTATTAATACTATAGATAATATAAATATATAATCGACATTTCTATTATTATTATGAACAAGTCACAGTTATCATCACGCAATGGATTTCCCATTCGAAAATGATATTTAGCGTCCCGAAGACGTTGGATATGTATCTAAAAAGATCTTAAGTATCATTAAAACACGAATCTGACATAACCAAATGATAAACACTGTCCTAAATTAAACGTTGATAATGAATCTCTTGAAAAGAAGATGTATTTAGTGTTTTTTTTTACTTATAATATTATTACATATTACTGTAAGTATTACTGTACAGTGGTATTATTTTACACAGTGCTGTAATAATTTTTATAATATACTATTATTTTGTTATTTTGTTGGGAATTTCAGTCAACTTGTGTATATGTAATTAATATACTAATTGTATTATTTAAAAGATGCATTATAATAAGCACATCGCTGTTGCTATTGCATTGCGTCGGATCGTTTATTATCTTAAAGACGCGAGTGAGCGGTTCTCACGTTAATAATACGTCTCTCGATAGCGACATCAAATACGCAGTCAAACCGTTATCATTTTTAAAATAACGAGCCTCTTCTATTGTTTCAGGCGCAACGACCGGAGCAGAGCGTAATGCAGGCCTTGGAGAGTCTCAATGATTCACAGGTGAATGACTTCTTGTCCGGCAAGGCACCACTTAATCTTACGATGCGACTGGGCGATCACATGATGTTAATCCAGCTACAGTTGTCCACCGTAACCCCGACATCACCGACCGCCAGCCAGGCGAGCTCTGTCAACAGTAACGGCCATAGTCATCACAGCACCAGCAGCAGCAGCAGTAGTAGCAACAGCAGCAGTAGCAACGTTGCTAGTTTGCTCAACAGTGGCAATACCACGAGCATGTCCAATCTGCCTGGCGGTCATTCGTCATTGCAAGCCAGAAGATGCCTGACGACCAGATCACCGGGAAATATCGTTAAGCCGCAGAACGCCGCTGGGGCACCAGCTGGTAGAACGTCGCATCTAATTAGCAGTCTAGCCAGCGCCCTACACGCAGCCGCCAGCTACAGCAACAGCAGCAGCCTACCTACCGCCAGCATTACCACCACGACCACCAGCCCGGTATGTTCCAGTCGGGTTACAACATCCTCTTCGTCCGTCTCGGCGACGCCAATTAGTCCGGCGCATTCATCGTCGTCGTCCAGCAGCAATTCGGGTCAATCGCAATCCACGCGTGGCAATTCGCATGGCATTCCACCTACGAATGGCAGTTCTTCCAGCGCGTGCCAGCCCTGTCCGCTGTATCACCACCATCATCATCACGGCCATCACCACGGTCATCACCATGGTCACCATCACCATCATCATCATCACCATCATCATCACCATTCGAGGAATAAACCTAGCTTGCCCAACCTTTCCACCTCCTCTTCTTCCTCTTCCTTCAATTCGGGTTCGTCCCCGATTCAGGAGCAGTCTGCCTTGGAGCCAATGTCCTACGACGTGACGCTACCCAGGAAGAAGCTCTGCAGCGGCCACCATCATCATGGGCAGTCATCATCGTCCGTTACCACTAGTGGTATAGACGCCACGAGGAGTCAACACGAGGAATCCAATCCGCAGAGCCCAACATGCGCCTCATCGCTGATGCTGGAGCAATCGCCACCCAAGCCAGCCACCCTCGACACTCGGGCGCTCGCCGAAGCGTCTCGGAACCTCACCCAGAAGCTGAAGCAGCTCTCCTCTGAGGTACTCACCTCGCGGGTCGACCTCGCAGAGGTATACATTGTTACCGAAGCCAGTTCCCCCTGTGTATCATTATTCGTGATTCATATTCGTGATTGCACGTCGATTAAGGTCCTAAGAGGTGCGTCGTGATTAGTATAGTCGTGAATTGAATTGTTTGTTCTGATTTGGTTTCTTTACAAATTGAATTGCTCATTTATTGGAATTTTTCAATGATTTGATCAACTAAATTTAATTTTCGACTGTGGATAACATTTTTTAAAAATATGAACACTTTTAACTCACAATATACTCTCAGGTCCTTAAAATTATCATATTTATATACTATATTGTATTTAACTATATTTTGTATTAATTAATGCTAATAGTATTATTTTAACGTTTTGCACAAAATGATTTGTTGTGTATTCTTAATAAATATTATGCATTAATACTAATTTTATATTATATTTTTAAAATATAATTTTAAGTTAAATAAATTACACATGTGTAAAATTTATATATTTTAAAATTATATAATTTCAATAGAGATAAACTTAACACCTTATCATTTAATTACATTTCATGTTTGTAAGTTTGAACGAAGATTCGTAGAATTGCATTCAAATTTTTACATAATTCTTAAATAATATACTTACGAATTTTGTGTCAAATGTTTAAAACATTTCTGAACTTTTAAACTTAAAAAAAAAAAGAAATTTGGAAGATAAGTATAATAGAGAAGGAAAAAGGAAAGGTAGGACGTATCAATACCAATTTTATTTGTTTGCGCTTTTAAACATACAAATAACATATTTCTAAAGCGATATCTAATTTGTTTTAAATATCTTATAATAATAAAGTGTTTTGTACGTCATCGTGCATAAGTACGAAGGCAACTAAGGACGTAATAGACACAAAGTGCAGAATCTTACGTATCTCTTTAAATTTAGGAGAACGCGAGACGCAGACAAGGCGCAATAATAGAGAGTATGCATCATCATGGCAAAGGCGTGTATTCCGGCACGTTCAGCGGCACTCTGAACCCAGCCCTCCAGGATAGACACGGTCGGCCGAAGCGAGACATTAGCACCATCATTCACATCCTGAATGACTTGCTCTGCGCGACACCAGCCGCATCCGCAGGCCACTATAGGCATCATCATCACAGGCACTCGCATACTCGCCAGCAACCTTCCTTGATGTCCGCGTCTTCCGCAGGCACTACAACTACCGCGAGTGGATCTACTGCATCGGTCGGCTGTCATGATTCTACACCAGGCTACTCCAATGGTGTGCATTTATGAATATCGAATAATACTTTTAAATAATAAAATGAAGGAAAACATTTTATAATATATTTAATACCTTGTAATTATAACATAATATGTCATTTTTATTTAAAAAAATGTCTATAAACTTATAATCGTAATACCATTAATTTCTATTAATACTAATGGATTCTGTGATGTTTGGAATGCAGAAGAATTATCAAAGGAGAACGAAGCGACGAAAGGCAAGATGCGTCGGCTGCGCTTAGTCATGGAGCAACGTCGCGCTAAGAGAAAAGCCAGGCGACAAGCGCGAGCGGCGCCGTACACTACACAGTGGGCTGCGATGACTCCCGCCGATCCGAATCACGAGCCGAACACGTCAACTACGACCTCGAGCACTACCACCACTACTAACAGCGCAGAGCCGCAGAACGAGCCGGAGCTTCAGCCGTGTAGCCCCGAACCGGTCGTAGCTTAAATACCACGTCACTAACAGTCAATTCACGGCACAGTAGTATCGTCTATATTCGTATACATAGGTATGATTGTCCGTTTTCATTTCTACCTATCGCACTGATTTATTCCGAAGAAAGAAAATGCGGAGTCGAACGTGTTCTCTATCGCGCAGTTACACTCGTTCCGCGCAACAAACGCTGCAAAACGTTTTAAACGTTTGATTCGACACTCGTTCTCGTTGATACCCTATACACGGTCTCGATCATTACCGCGAATCTACTGAGTTTCTCTCCGTATTATGCAAGTGTCTCGCTTTCTCCGATTTGCGTTACCTTATGCAAATAGACATAATCTGCAAGGATTCACTAGCTGATGAATCGGAAGATAAATTCCATTGAACATTTTTCTTTTTATGTAATTGAATTTTATTAAAGACAATTTCTCACAAAAAAGATCCAGTGTAGTGGTATATGCTCATTATTTATCTTAGTATTATTTTTCTTTTTGTATAACACTCGAAACTATTTTTTAAATAATATTTTTTTTTGTCTTTGGAGTATTAAGGTTTTAACATTAGGGCCCCTATTTAAAAAAAAAAAAACGTATACAAAAACTGTAATATAAGGAAGTATCATAGTACATATACATAACGTATATTATAGTATTTCCCTAGTTTTTTGTATACCGTTCTTTTCAAAAATAGGGGAGTTTAAGAATTTCTCTTTTCCATCTTTAAAGTTTTTTCTAGATCGGAATCATTTTTACGATACAACATGCATTGCATTATATAGAATCATTCCACAAAAAATCACTTACAATTCATCTATGGATTCATTGGTTTAACTCAGTCGCGTTTGCTTATTATCATCAGTGTACAATGACAAAGCATTGTCATTATCACATAAACGTTTCCCGTGACGATATGTGAAACATTGTAGGGGCGCAACGGGGCATTTTGAATGTCTATAAAAATGATCATGCGTGGCGTTACGGCTATATATTAGGCAATATATAGTGTTACCGCTATAATAAAATGTATATTACATACATATATTATACATATATCATTATCATTATATATATTTAGAATAACGAAATACTGGGTATCCTATGACTATCGTTTCCCAACATTAATGAAACGGTGATCTCGCAGTGTTTGGCCGGACTCAGGATTTGATCGTAGTTGACAATAATTACGCTCGGCGAATGAATCAGTGTGACGGTTTTACGTGTCTATACATCGACATCGGGAAGTCGATGAATCGTTCTGAAAGAGAGAGAGCGCGAGAGAGGGAGAGATTGAGAGAGAGAGAGTGAAAGAAAGAGAGAAATAGAGAGCGAAAGCTCTTATTAAGGCTCCTATTAAGGAATCCTGTTAAGGAACTTCCTGCTAGAAGTAAAACTCGCCGATAAATACGCTGCACGCGTTCAAGGAAGGGAAGAAATGGGAGAGGCAGGATCGCCATAGTTTTGTCTGTGCGCGTTTACTACGCTCTCTTTTGACAATTCTTTCGCTATTGAGCACTTGAAGTCTTACGTAGATGCGAATAGAACTCTGATTACGCGTATAAGTTGCGGGAGCACAACGGTAAATCTCGCGTTTTACTGTGCACTTTACGTGAAACCGCTATCATTCTTGAAATAAGAAGAAAAAAAAAAAGAAATGTCACGGTAACTTGCGCGTGACGGAATCTGTGCAAAGTTGTATTTCGCGTCCCGATTGATATAAATTATCGTAATTTGTTTTTGTAAGTAGCAAGTGCACTTTCCAACGTCTTCGAATTAAAATTGCACTGACGCATACGCGAATGGTGTACGCGTTGGAGTATTTTTCATTTAAATCTTCGGTGATTTTATCAATTATGGCAATATTTGTATATTGATACAAGGTATTGTACACTTTACTCATTTACGTAGGAAATGTAAAGTAACAATGCAAGAGAATAAGATCTAAATGAGAGTAAAGTGAACAATACGGAGGTTCATGTTTTCTTCATCCATCTGTCTTTTCAACTTGACAAAACGCAAAACTATGATTTTATTCACTATCTTTCCTATATTTGTATTGTTTATTTTTAGTCGTAAATACGTCATCTTAACTTTTGATCGAATTTAAGAATTACTGAAAGAAAAAGAAAAATGAATGATAGGGATGAAAAAATAGAAGAAACAAAAGGAATGAAAGATTATTTTTTACGTTGAATGTGGTGTATAGAATGATCCAAGAATAGGGAAAACCAAGTGTCTAAGTGAGGTGCAAAGCAATTTAATAATAATTATTAAAAATAGCATATTTAGTTTTTATGGAGCATATGATATTAGAGATCAGTACAAAAGTTCGTGCCCGATTTATTATTCAAAATTAATTTTTTTTGCACTGATCCAATATATGAAGTATTTCTTAACCTCTGATGAATCATATCTTGATGTTTGATTACTCTCTGTCAAGATCTCACATTATGCGTTATTCTTCGAAAAGACAAGATGGAAGGAGATAAGATCCACGTGAATCGAAGAAAGCGATGTTGAAGACGGTTTTAAGACGGATGAAATGCGTTGCGAGATCGTATTGCACGTTGTGCTACGGCCCCACGATTTAAGTTTAAGTTAATTAGGTACTACAGATAATACAGTGTCACATACTATTAATAGAATACATTGCGTTTAGGTTTACTTTAGAAGAAAATATTATTACCATTATTACATTATTATATATCATTAGTATACCGCTATTACAATTTTTGCAAAACTGGCTCAATATTGTAATATACGACTATCGGAACCTTTATCGAGTACCAAAATAAATAAGATTGCTTGCTAAGCTAAGGACAAGTTTTTTTGCGCTTCTCGTTTGACTGCGTGAAATATCTGGTGTCTGCGTTGTATGTGTTTGTTGTTCTTGTTATCTTTGTGTCTTATTCGTATCTATAATATTATCATTTTTATCAATGACACTTAATAAGTAATGTGAAAGAGAAATCTCTCGCATTGTTCCATAAAATTCAAAAGAAAAAAAAAACGTATATGAAGGGCACATTAAATTAGATTAAAGTTCATCTACCGTCAAATTGTTTATTTAAATTATGCCTTAAATTACAATTGTAGAAATCTATCGACGCTTAAGAGATACGCTGTAGCTTTATCGTAATATAACATCTTTCGTAGTATACATATACGCCGCATATATCTAAAACGACAATATAGTCATTATTATAAAGGAAAAAGAGAGAGGTAAAGAAGGAAGAAAATTAATATCATCTTTACGAAATCAGATTGGCACTATCGCAAATTGTACGTTTCTCATCGTGAACGTAAAATTCGCGACGCGTTACCCTGAAAGGATCACTCTCGTCCCAGTGCACAATAACCCATAAAAATCACTCTCGGTATCTCCAGCCACCAGTGTAGAAATTACGCTAGCCGACGTAAAAATCGATTGATCACGTGCCCTCTGATACGCTCCGAGGTATACTTACGCGACTCGTGTTACATAGAACTGTTTACGCACCTCGAGTACAAGTTTTCTTTTTTTCGTTGTGTTGAGTAGAAAGGCAAGACTTCTAATACTGATGGAAAAAAAGTTCTCCCAGAAATCACACATCCATAGAGGTTCTTTCTCCGGTAATTTGAGAATCGCCAAAAAGTAGATTCTCGCGTTAACAATTAAGCTTGTACCTCGACAATTGTCAGCTTCTTTATTACATACGAACGTATTGCTTTCCTTTTGCTCGAAAGTACGTTCGTGATGGGAAACGCGCTTAAAATTAATTGGTTCCACTGCTGTCGCATTCGATCACAAATGAATCACTTTATACAAACGAGTACAATTATTTTACCTAGAAAAATTGGCTATAAGACTGTTTCCCTTTAGCGTAAATCATTCGTTACGCAAAACGTTCATTAAACGATGCGAACATGATGTGAGAAAAGGGGATACATTAAATACTTTATTCGACTCCTACAATTTGAGTATAAGGGTACGTTCATTTTTGCGCTCACAGCGCTTATAATATTATTCATTCTTGTTTAATATTTGGTAAACAACAAGAATGAAATGATGCTTATAGTATGTGAGCGTAAAAAGCAACCCAAGTATCATATTTTTGCCATTTTAAACAAAACATTTATTTAAAATATCGAAAACATTCCTTCGTGATAATATTCAATCGGTATCAAATATCGAGCCACATAACAAGGTATGAAACTTCATATATTAATAACATACTTTAAAAAATGACAAAGTCTGAAATTTAACCAACAAGAGGCTTTCCAGTAAAAAAATCTGTATAAAAAAAATTTTAAAAATTTTACTATCTAAATGTACCCCCTCCCCCCTTCTACTGCGCAGAGCGGAGGGATTCGTAGTTTTTCGAACATTTGGAAACAGTACTCCTTTTTTTTTTCTTCTCGCAATAATGTAGCGATATGTACGAATGTTTCTACGGGCTTCTATGATTGTTGTCGCATAAGCACGATCGCACATATTTCCTACGTTAAGATGAAAAGCTCGCTCTTTCAGTGCTCATCATCCGCGCTCTCTAAACATGGATAAAAAATGGACGGGATAAAGCACAGGCGAAAACGCCGATTCGTGAGGAAGGAAAGCGTACACGATGTACATACAATCGTACGTCGTGCGTGTTCGTCAGGATACAAAATACCCTCTCTATATTACTATTAATTTTTAACATAACCAACTATCTAACTAATTATCGAGAAAAATAACAAAAGATAACAAAATCGAAATATCTCGTATCCAGGCAAACGCGATTATCGTGTCATGCGCGAACCTCTCTCGCTATGGCACGATGTTAGTGCAATATAAAAGAGCTTCATCTTTTTTTTTCTTTCATACAAATTGTTCGCGGAAATAAAATGTATATTTTGGCAGTTTAATTTTATCAGCACGAGATGTAACGTTACGCATCGTTACGATCAATTGGTAAACATTTTCCTACGCCGACACGATGGATGACAAAGTTTGCTGTTTGCAAACAAACAGAATGTCTCGAGAGGAACCATGCGACACAGCGAGTAAAAAATTTCTCTATCTCTCGTTCTGAACTCCGTAATCTAAATTTGGATATTAGAGTTATTTTACTGTTATTATCGCTGATGCCGCGCGCCGACCTTTCCTCTCGCGTTATACATCGCGTGGAATCAATGTTCCGATATAGGCAGTGTTCCAAATTTACTGCCAACACTGAAAATGCTATAGTTTACGTTACATGTACTATAGATTTTTAATACAGGCAATCAATTTTGGAACATAGCCATGAACATGTGATCATTGATCGGTCTTCTAATACAAATTAATTTTCTTTGTGATCGTCTTGCGGCACATGTGACAAGTCTTCAGCGGAGCGGCGCAGTGCTCACACGCGCCATGCCCGCAAAGAAATGCGACGTTACGACGGCGTTCCATGCAGATGCTGCACATATTCGCCTCTTCGAGATCCGCGACTCTAGTCTCCAAATAACGTAACCGTTCTAGATCTTTGTCCTTCTCTTTTTCTCTGTCACTGATCTCCTTCCGTTTGCCTTCCAAAGATACATCCTTCGATTTATCCTCCGAATTGGCTATAGAGACTTCACCTGTCGCCAGCTGGCCATCTAAAATAGTATATAAAAATAATATAAAACATTCGTACGATTTCATCACAATTGTAATTTGTTATACAGAATATCTCGCTAGTGCGGAAACTTAATTCCTTTAGAACAATTTCATAAATTCTTGATCAATTCATTTACACGAGATCAATCAAAAAATTACATACCTTGAATTGTTTGCGTATGGCCACAACGTGCACAACCAACGAGCGTAACGCTACTGCTAGGATCAATTCGATTCTCCTGTTTTGTGTTCTCTATGATCGCCGAGCAATCTCGACATTCTGCCGCGTCACCGGAACCGGTTATGTTCTTCTTCGCAACATGCAATCCTTCCGACTGCGATATATTATCTATCCGATACGCAGGTGGCTCTACATAACCGGGCGATGGACTGTTCTCTATTCTGCAAGACAAATTACATTTTCTATACATTTGTTGATAAACTCTAAATCAATTAAGTGATTCCAAAAGCGCGTTACACGTAAGATAAGTGGTGTTTTCAAAACATAATACAATTTTTCACACATTTAAAACACTCGTGTCTTATTGTCTTACTCTAATTGTGTGCTGTGACTTTGGTATTTGTAAGATCGTAAAAGATCGGCGAGCAGGGCGGCCTGTGGATTGCCTTCCAAAAGATCGAGCGCTGTCTTGTCTTTGTTATTTTTGACTTGCTCAAGGAGTTTACAGCTCCTGTCCACGCTTACCAAAAAACAAGCTAATGCTAATTCAGTCTTTGTGCCTTGCCTTGCCAGGTTCTGCCAGATCTGTTTAAAAAAAAAAGAAAATATTCGTTAGAAAAGATAAACTACCTGATAAGTTATTTTTTCTTTTTTTCTTAAACCATAAATATATATACGTAATTATTCTAAAAATTTCAATTTCATGAAAAGAAGATAATTTTTTAACTTTCTTCGTAGGGGGGAGAGACAAAGAGTGTGACTCCTCCGCCTAGGAGAGAAGGAGAAGGTGTGTTGTGCTGCCTTATATTGTAAAACTTAATCTTGAAGATGAATCATGATTTAGTATTGTTTTATGAACTAAAACAATCCGAAATCTTTTGTTGGAGTTAAAAAATTCTTTTTAAAACTTAGATAAATAACGTACAGCATATAAAAGCGGTGAATCCCGACTACTTTCGGATGTAGGTACAGCAGTCTGTTGATTCGGACTCTTTGCTATCGCGATATGTAACACAGTGTCGCCATCCTCATCCGTACTGCCGATATCTGCATTGTGATGTACCAACAGTTCAACGAGCGACCAATGTCCCTGCGAAGTTGCTAAATGCAATGGCGTTTGCCGCCGATTGTTGCGCAGATCCACTTTGGCGCGGCCACCGTTTTGCGAGAGAAGGATGGCTGCGACTTCCCGGTGTCCGTTCAACGCCGCTAGATGCAACGCTGCAAATCCGTCTTCCTTTTTCACATCTACCAAGTGACGCGCGCGCGCAACCAGCCTCTCCGTTGCACTACAAATTCATAGATTTACAAAGTAAATTAGATGATATATATAGGCACTTTATTTATATATTTAAATTAGATGGATTAGATGAATTTTAAGTACGGCCAAGCTATTACTATGCAGACGTGACCGCTATGAGATTATACTCGTTAAGAATCTTATACACATACTGAGCATTGCCCTTGAGTGCGGCGTGATGCAGGATATTGAAGCCCCGTTTGTTTCTCAGCGTGAAGTCGACCCTTTCGGAGGCGCATAACGCGTCGATCACATCTAGCGCATCCTTTCCTATCGCGTCGTGCAACGCTGTATCGCCGTACGAGTCTTGGAGATTGACGTCGCAATGATAACGCAGTAGAACTCTCACGCATTGTACATGCTGCTTATTAACTGCCACATGCAAAGCGCTACATCTGCCGTTATTAACGGCATTGATGGCTGCACCTCGCGATAATAATAGATCCATTATCTCTGGCTGATTGCTGTTTAATCAAAAGAGAGAATGAATAATTTAGTTGATTTTGCGAAAAAGACGACAACAATTCCTAACATACCCAAATGCCGCGTAATGCAAAGGCGTATCTCCGTCCTCATCGACCGCACGCAAGGAAGCACCAGCGTCTAGAAGGAGAGTGCAGAGCTCAAGCTGACCTTGATGAGCGGCCACTTGCAAGCACGTTTTCCTGCCACCGCCAGGAGCACACGCATCCACTCTGCCAGGATATTTCTTGAGGAATTCCCGTACTGCATCCACTCCAGCTTCGCCTCTAGCTGCATCTCTTAACAGCTTTTCCACTTCACTGTCGGTGCCCTCAACTATTGAGAATAAATTATATATAACAGATGATTTTGTTTTACAACATAATAAAAATTAATTTTCCTTTAATACCAATTTAACTTTAAATTCGATACCCTTTTTCATTTTATAATTAACAAAAATTCACGTATATAATAAAAAGGAACATACCTGAACGATCTCTACTGCTATTTGCATTATCGTGCGCGGCAGTCATAGTATTCGTGCCAGAAGATACTGGAACAACACTCAGCGGATTAAATGTCCATGTATGACCATGTATGTCCAACGCCACACGCAAGTCGCCATCAGAATAGATCTTAATTACCTTCCCAGTCTTTCCTAGAGCCTGCGACAAGTATAAATCCGATATCAAACGTCTGTCACTTCCATATATAGCCGTACTAAATTAAAAACAGCATATAAATTACCAACTAACATTTTTCATAACGTCTATCCATTCACCGTGGCCACGTTGATACTGCTTCACTGCAGCTAGGTCGCTCTTCACGCGGACTATATCACCAAGAGAGAATCCGTCCTTAGCGGTAACTTTTGTTAGGGCACCTGGATGGAAAGTCCACCTATTATGGCAGCCTTCGTACTGCACGCGAATATCTCCCTTGTCCGTAATTCGATGTACCGTGCCAATCTAGATTTCAAGTTAGAAAGTCAAGTTACACATCTCACATTAAACATGTTGATGTTTTAATTAAATATATTAAATGTATCTCCCAATAAAAACATTAATCAATATCAATTGAAGTTTTTCTCTGTCTAGAGAGACAAAATCGAGACTCAAGAGATCTAAAATTAAGCCTGCATCGTTGCATTTTTTCTTATTGAGCTACTTGTGTAGAATATGCAATTAGAATAAATTATTAGAACTGCATCAGATGGAATGTAAAATTTTTAGCAATTTGCTAAAGCAGGAAAATACATCCTGTATCGCAGATACAGATTAAAATTTAAATTTCAATTGACATTAATTGATGTTAACGACTGTAAATGGTCATTTTTGCGAAATACCTTTCCTATGTACTCAGCCATACGAGGATTCCAACCGCCATGACCATCTTGCATCTCTTTTAACGTATCGACCTCCATTAGCACTTTCACCTTATCGCCGACGTTAAACATTAGAGGATGTGGACTAGATGTGCTGGTGACACCGCTTTTTGTCGGTGTTGTGCTGTTTCCATTATCCGGTACAGTCAAGACGGGTTGGCCGAGTAACGGAAGATGTTCCTTGTAATAAGTACCAGCATTAGCCTCCTCCACATAACATAGATCGACGCAACCTTTGAAACCTAATCGATACACATTAGTGCTACCCGTGGACCATGTAACGGTTGCAACAGATCGACTACTTTCATTGTCCCATCCACGTATATCCATGACTCTGCCGGTTTTCCCTGAAGTATTCGAAGAAAATTAGATGGTAATTATATAATTCATGGTTATATAATACAATTCAATTAATGCCTCAGTAGTCTAAAGGCTTAGGACGCTCGCACGGAATGCCAGAGATCCGGATTCAACTCCCGGCTGAGGATAATATTTTCCGCAATAAAAAATTATTTACAAATTTTAATAGGTCATTCAATATTATCAAAATCGATCTAAGATGCGCAAACAACATAAAAAATCGTTAAATGATTAGTCAATTTAATTCATGATATTATTACAGTAGTTTAATAGTGTAGCGTTTCAAGTCTGAAAAAATTTCGACGCGCAATCAAAAATCTACATACGCAGTATATAAAAATATTCAATTATATAGAAGCATCCGAAATCCAGTTTAAACCGTTATGGCATATTCTCATTGATCACAATTCAATTAATTCATACAAGTTAATTTAAATTATTTATTAAATTAAATTAAGTTAATTTAAATAGAATATAAATACCACGTCCGCCATCCTGATTTCCCCATTCCCAATCCGGTCCGCGAATGACTTTTGCTCCTATAAAGATCCCTTTCAATGGTATTTTCGCGCATCCTTCTCTCGATTCCAGATGAACTCTGCAATCAACGTAATTGCAATTATATGTCAGAATGAGAAACACCAATTTCATTAGAATTGTAAACGCTTACCCTACAGAATTCGCCGTTTGATATCTCTCAAAAGTGTGTGTTAATTCATGTACATCTGCCATGTAACATTGAGTGCAGAGATCGTAGTCAAAACACTCCGTGCACTTCCACCTGATACCAATTATCCCATGTCTCTTACAACCATCGCAGATGATGTTGGAGTGCTTGACGCCAGCGGCCGCGTTATCAAACACCAACAAATCATAAGCACCCTGATAGCCGATTCTGTAATTACTCCTAGCGCCATGATCCCATTGAACAATGACTGTTTTGTCTGGTGTCCGATCGGTGGGATTTGGGCTGGAAGTTGTTGAGTTTCCTATGGAGGGAGGTCTACCAATCTCCACTATCGTCCCAGCATGACCCTCGCCACCATCCTGATCATCCCATTTCCAATCTTGACCGCGGACAACTCGCAAACCAACTTCTAGCATCTCCGAATGTATAAAATTTGGCTTTTGTCCCTTGAATAAATATATTATGCCATAAATGGAGGAATAATCTTTTATTTTACAAGATTTATATCAAAATTTGCTTTCTTTTAGTTAGAAAAAACTATATCTTTTATATATATATATATGTTTTAAAAATAAAAATGATAGTTTACAGCAAAATTTCTTGTTACAAAGATAGTTAATGGTAATCATATTTACTAGAACATTAATTTTAAACTTTAAAAGATATATATAAAATACAGAATTATCTAAAATTATTATTTTAAACTGACAATAATTATTAATAATAAAATAACAATTTTACATTGTAATCTCGCATCACACACAGTCCATATTTTATAAAACATAATAAATTAATATATCAATGAAAGAAGAATACACAACCTTTATTTTGTAAGATATCAAAATTTGCTTTTTTCTAATTATAGAAACAAAATTATATATCTCTCTATAATATAGTCATTTTAAAAATAAAGACAATAGTTCACGAGAAAATTTCTTATGTTGCATAAATAGAGAGTTAACAATAATCATATTTACTAAAATATTAATTCTATTTTGAAAGAGATACATACAAGATACAGACTATCTAAAATTATTATTTTAAACAATTATCAATAAAATATTTAGCAAATTTTATTATGAAACAATAATACTACAACAATAGTTTCATATCCACATGCTCGAATAATCATAAACTGTCACATTCTGTCACAGTTCGTATGTCATGTATTGTCAGAAAACATCATCGATACACGGAATTTACAAATTTTCGCTACAGGAGCGCAATCACTCCACGATATCCCCTGGATTCGGGCGGCGGTCATCCGGAATTTCAGGCAATACCTGAACCCTATTAATCCTCCGGACCAGGTGGAACCGAGATCGTGTAGAGTGCTCAATCTCCGGAGCTTGGTTTCCAGGCTAGATTTCAGACTACTCTAGAAGAGATACACGGGAGAGACACATTGCCGCCGTACCTGAAGGCAACTCCGAGCTCGGTCCTTATGAATCATACGCGGCGGAATGGTGGCGACGACGACGGCGAGAACGGTGCAGCCGACGTTCCGCGGGACCGTGCCTGGCAGGCACTGGTGTAACGCGCGCTGTAGCTGCTAACCGACCGTGGAGAAGAGCGGCCGACATTACGCAGCATCGTCGCGGGATCAGGTAATTATTCGCGCTCCATCGCTTGTAAGATGCGACGGCGGCGGCGATGACGTGACCACGACGTTAAATTCTCACGTCCACAATCGCAATGCTGACGACGATAACCTCATAACCGGGCTTGCTGATGATGAGGGCGCCTGTTTCGATCCAGGGCACGTCGCCCGCCGATTCGACGCACGCATGGGTTTGGATTAGATGTCTCTCTCTCTCTCTCTCTCTCTCCTTTCTTTTGGTTCGTTCTTTTTTTTCCTTCATTGGAGCAAATTCTTTTTCCTTACGACGATCATACACATTTTCTCCTTCTCATACGATCGTATGAACTGGTATGAACGTAATGCAATAGAATTTTAATTGGATCTTATATTATTTCCTTTTACATGTATAAATCATAGATAAATACAAATATATAGGAAGTTTCGATATATGAAATTGTTTACTTTCGAGCGTATTTGAAGTACGTGATAATTTAGATATGAAAAAGAAAAAAAATTGTTTCTTTACTCCTTTTACTTTGCTGAACGAAAGACAAAGAAGTATATCATGAAGTTAGTCACGTGACTGAAATACTGGAAGCTTATTGGTTGAGATTGGAATTGAAGATTGGGAAAATAGATGGAGCCCTATATTTCAATCTGTACTTTATTTTTACTGGTCGAACTTCAAACATCAATCGTAGGCCCATTCTACAATAGGGAGTTTTTGCAATACCGTTTATTCCAGATACGGTATCTTTTTCTTCATACCTAATTAAGAAAAAAAAAAGATAACGTGACTTTAGCGTTCACCGTATCTAAGATAAACGGTATTGCAAAAACTCCCTACTAAGTCGGGAGCCGTTGTCGTATGTCATGCCGTAAGAAATTGACCAATCACAATTGAAAACAATCCATCATGATTGGTTAATTTCCTACCTGGGTTGCGTTCCAAAATTCGACTCTGTCAACTCCGAGTATCTTTTATCTTTGTTCGACATTCGGCGAACAACAAAGATGAAAAGGTCTGTTCGCGTTGCATGAAATCCCCAAATAATTTTACACTTAAAATGAAATAGATATATATTCGGCGTTAAAAAGAGAGAAAGCGAAGATGGTAAGTGCAAAAAGTGCAAGCAACACGAACAGATCTAAAGATACTCAGAGTTGACAGAGTCGAATTTCGGAACGCAACCCAGCATGACATCCGATGCCGCATTCGACGTATTCGTATTATAAAGCGTAGAATAAAGCGGGGAGCACAGACTTTTGCATAACGCATAAAGCATGTGCATAATGAATTTCATTGGTCCATTGACTCATGCATAAGAAAATGGACCAATGAAATTCATTATGCACATGCTTTATGCGTTATGCAAAAGTCTGTGCTCCCCGCTTTACCCCGTATCTACAATAGATGTTTTAAGCTTTAAGCCGTAAGAAATTAACTAATTACAGTCGAATTCGAGGAGAATAATCGATTATGATTCGTCCATTTCTTATGGGTTAGACCTAGGCCTGTATTTAGAACGCGCTTACAATGATGTTAGCGCTCTAACATGCTATAGTTTACGTTACTATACGCATACTATAGAATTTCGGAGATAAAAGCGCGTTTTTATCAATAAAAACGAGTTCTGAATATGAACCTATGAGTAGAAATACATTTGAAAGTATACAAACTAATACAAACAGTACTTGTTTTTTCTTTTTACTTGATTATATGTCAGTAACTACATAAAATATTAATAAATGTGTATATTCGCAACTATTTACATTAGGTATGAATAATAATTATGCCATAACATTATTAAATTAAATATTTACAATTACAACAGTATCTGCATTAATTATAATAGCTGTTTTTTAAATATTATCATGAGGTCTTTATAATACATTACAAAAATATTGATTTATCCAAGTTATTGAAACAACCATTCATATTATGTCCTCTAAGAAGCAATATTTTATAAAATATATTCCTAATGTGAATATAATGCGCAAAAATTAATAGCAACTTGCTATATTCAATGATCGTCACTAGAACACACTTGGCGTGTTCTTTCTCCAATATTTCCTGGAGTAGATAAAATCTGTCTACCTTTTTAATTTACAAATATTTGTAAACAACTAGAAAGTAAATATATAAGATGTATATAATATAGATGTAACTTGTTTCATAAAGCATAATTGTACATGCAAATATTTTAAACATACCTTAAAAAGAGTGTTATCTTATAGGATGCTTAAGTCAGCATCATAGCTATTACTTACGTATATAATGTCATTTCATGATATAAATCTGAGAAAGAGAAGTGCCAAATCGAATCTTGTACACAGGATGTTGATGTGTGTGATACGATAGATTTATTGTAAATATACAGTTTGTCTGACGTTTTGATCCTCGGTTCGGATCCTTATCAAAGTACTTCTAATACAATATAATCATTGTGCTACCTGGAACAATGTTATAAATATTAGAAGTAACGGATAATAACGTTCTTGTCGAGTGTTCATGTGATAATGTGATGTTTCACATTAACACATTATCACATGAACACTCGACAAGAACGTTATTATCCGTTACTTCTAATATTTATAACATTGTTCCAGGTAGCACAATGATTATATTATATTAGAAGTACTTTGATAAGGATCCGAACCGAGGATCGAAACGTCAGACAAACTGTATATTTACAATAAATCTATCGTATCACACACATCAACATCCTGTGTACAAGACTCGATTTGGCACTTCTCTTCCTCAGAGTTTTATCACACGAGTCAATTGGTATCATCATTTAATTATGATATCATTAATCGAGCACAATTGGATAAAAATTAACTTTATGTATTAAAAATACCGGTAGATACATATTGAGCAAAATATGTAAATAAATGTTTTTTTGTGTTTTAGAATTGTTTTATAGGAGACAGCATTCTAATATTTGCATTACAGTGTACTGCATTACAGTATATATAAGCAACACATACTCTCCACTCTTTTTTGTATTATTTATTAATCACTGTAATGCAAATATTAGAATGCTGTCTCCTTAAAACAATTTTAAAAAACAAAAAAACATTTATTTACATAATTTGCTCAATATATGTATATCTATCGGTATCAAAATCTATCCTTGTAGCACTATTAAAATTAAATAGTCTCATCTCTTTTTTGTGTTACAAGTTTTAAAAGCTTTTTTTAACTAATATTTCTTAATAATATATGTATGTGACAATGTATTAATGTTAGAAAATATCTATGGCTTTTTACCAAACTCCTATTACTTAAATAGCTCCTATTACTTAATTAATTACATCTTCATTAACAATTATATTGTAAATAATTTTATGGTTAAATTTTTTTATAGTAGTCATATCAATAAAATTAATTAGTATTGAGAGAGAGTTAGTCATATTAATAGAAATATCGTTTAAAATGTATAGTTATATAACAAAAAATGACAGATGATGACCCCTGTGAAGCTAGCTCCCCATTATTTAAAAAAATATTTTTTGTTGAGTTCTGAATAGATTTCCAATAGTTCCAGAGTTCCTGATAGGTTTAAAAAATAGTTCCGTTCGAGAAAGTAAAAAAATCATTAAAAACCCCGAAATTGTCACCTAAAAAACAGCCATAACTTTGAAAGTGTTATTTTTACACAATTTTCTCATTAAAATATTTTATAGAACTCTGTGGGAGCTATCCAGAACTCTCGACAAAACTGTCAAAACCCTTCAAAAAATTTTTTAGTCTTCCAGATGGAAAATGGACACCTATAATCGCTCGTAACTTTTGTAATTCAAATTGTATGGATTTCTGTCATTAAGATTTTCGACAGAACTCAGCGGGGGCTACTCAGAACTCTCGACAGAACTATCAGAACTCTTCAAAAAAATTTTTTGAAACTATTATATAATATATAACAGTTCTGACGGGAGTTCTGGGTAGCCTCCGCCGAGTTCTGACGAAAATCCTAATGACAAAAATCCGTAGAATTTCAACAGCAAAAGTTACGAGCGATTATAGGTGGCCATTTTCCAATTCAGAAGACCAAAAATTTTTTTGAAGAAAACAATTTTTTTTTCACAACAACAATTGCGAGGTAAACCTCAATCTAATTGGATGATAGCTAGTGGTGATGATAGTTTAAGCTCATCAATTCCTGCGTTTTCACATTAATTAAGACTATAATAAACATCGTTGTATGATTTACAAATTATAACATTAAAATATGATTTTGTTCTTATGACATATTTTAATATTATAAACAAATGAATTGAAGATTTGAAGGACTTTTTTATATAACAATAATTAACACGTTAAAATTATTGTTAATATTATAACTTATGTCATATTTTAATTATAACATATTGTAATATTATAACTAATATTATAATTTGTATTATATTTTAAATACATATTTTAATATTATAACATTTATAACTTGTGAATTACATGACGTTTTGCGATGTTTATTATAGTCTTAATTAATGTGAAGATGCAGGAATTGATGAGCTTAAACTATCATGATCACTAGCTATCCAATTAGATTGAGACTTACCTCACAATTATTATTGTACTTCTTTTGAAACAAGGGCTATTAACATTCCAGATGTAATTTGCGATTGTTACTCATGACTTGAAATTGTTGCTGAAGATGACCTGAAACAAGAGTCGAAACGTACAAGGTGCATAATTAGAAAATTAAATTGATATAGACTAACAATAACCAGCAATAGACTCATATCATCTGTCATTTTTGTTATAACTATACAATTTGAATTATTTTTAAGGTAATGAGTTTATTTCAAAACTTAATAATTTTGTGATGTTTTATATTTAAATTTTTTAGAAATATTATATTATGTTATCTTGACTAGCTCAAATAAAATTAAAATTATTTCAAGTAATGTTTGTCATGTTATTTAAAATATATGGTTTTGCTTAGGTAACATATCTCATTGAAGAGACATCATTTTATATAAAAATAACTAAAATATTTTGACCTTACGTTGTATCTTTTGTCAGTGATGATTCGAAAGACAGATTTCTCATATTATTAAATATACACAGGGGCGTTTGTCCCGCGAAGTTTGCAATATTTGTGACAGCACCAGCTTTTAACAGTGCTTTCTTCACCGACGTACAATCATTGTCTACCGCGTGAAACAAAGGTGTCCGTCCCGATTTCATATCCCGTAGGTCTATAGTCGCACCGGCTGATAAAAGTACTTTGACTCCTTTCAAATTACCACGCATACTGCAATAATGCAACGCTGCGAAACCTTGGGAAAACGTAAATACATGTTAGCGAGGATATTTTGTGCGATCAGTTATACAAGATGTCTCTTGCATATATGTATTATATTAGTCTTACCCTCCGAATCAATATGATCGAGCAATTTTGGATCTGAGATTTGATTAACAAGAATCGACAACAATGGTGATGAATGCTTGCTAGCTATAATCATTGCGGATTCATGTAAGGATTTTGGGATCACTGGTTGTGCTCCGGCATCGAGTAAGAGCTTCACGATCTCTATGCATACGTTATATTTAATTGCCAATTCCAAACTCGTCTGTAGAGCATGTAAAACAATTATGTATCATGTCTTTTGAAATAAAATAAAATTTAATTTGAAATTAGATAGAAAAAATAAACTCACCACTCCGTCCTCAGTTAATATATCAACACTTTGTTTGCAATATTGAAGTACCATTAGGTGTCTCTGAACAAGATAGATGTTATCGCTTATGACTGCGTTATGTATATTTAACATACCGTTTTGATCGTATCGTTTAACATTTTCAAAGTCCCTCTGTAAATGCTCCAAAAGGCTGTTACATCTTACTTTCGTCATCGATAAAGTTTCCTTCATTTTAAGTGCATCTGAATCCTCTTTCCAAAATTGTTCCATAAAACTATCTAAATCAAAAAGGCTTTCTTGTTCCATTATATTAAGATCTTTGGATATAGAATTATTAGAATGTGACTTATTCACTGATAGATTTTTATCATTAGGCATATCACAAAAATTAATCTGATTTATCCTGTTAACATCATCCGAATCCTTGTTTATTAATATGAAGGATTTCGGATCAAGTAGTCCAAACACTACAGTCTGTACCTGTGTATCGTGTACAGCTTTATGGTCTTTTGGTGGATGTATCGGGATATGTCTCTCAATTCCAATACCACAATTTGCCAAAGCCTTCAGCGCCTGTTCACGTAACTCGTTGTCTCTTATGCTATCCATCGCTTTTTTTATAATATTCAATTGATCTGACAAATTTTCTTGAGACATATCTTTAGAACAATTCTTGCTCTGTACATTTGATTGCATGTTTGCACTAACATCTTTAATTTGTTGTGATTCTGAAATTTGCTGCATATGACTATTAGTAATTACTTTATCATTTTGAAATTCTGCCTTCAAGTCTTTACTTTGCGTATTTTCACACTTTGTATTGTATTTATGTATACTACGACCTCTGGTATTTGTTATTTGTTTATTACTTTCAGATGGCGAAGAGGTTTTATATTTCTGTATCAAAGTTGTGTTCTGATCAAACATAGAAGCTTTATTATTAGGTATAATTGTCATAACATTTTGTGTTTTTTTGGATACTGCTTTAGGAACTATATCAGACTTTTTTTCAGACAATTTATTTCTATCATATAAAGTATCCTTTTTAGTAGAACTTTTTATACTGTTGTTTTGACTTAAATTCCTATCAGTCTGATTACATCTTTGCACAACATTTGTTGCATTCTTCAGAGATGTAACTATCTTTCCATTTTCTGTTTTTTTTATAGTAGCAATACACTTCCCTTTACTTACTTTTTCAGACAATGGTATGTTATTCTTATTACTAGAATTTATCGTACGTTTCTTACTACTTACAGAACATGGTAATTTTATAATTTCATTAGATAATGATGAATCTATAGTTAAAGAAATTTTATTATTTTCAGCTGTAGTTTCCTGAATTTTTATATGATTCTGAACATCTATATCATCAATTCCATAATATAATATATATTTCTGATTACTATTAGTTTGACATACAGAATGTTTAGAATTTATTTGATCTATATAATGTATCTCAATAGCATTGATATTATCTTCATAAGTCTGTTTTTCTACCTTACCTTTCATATTTTGACTACTTAAAGGCTTTTTATCTTTGGTTATAGATTTTTGCTCATGTAACACATTGGTACTATTTTTCGAAGGGACGGTCTTGCTGCTAGACATCACTTCCATCAAATTTCTCCTTGGAAAGTTTGTGGAACCTTGTTTAAGTATACGTGGAAATGATTTTGTGGGCATGACCGGAGATAAAGGAAGTATCAACGGCTTATCGTTGGGTTTGCAATTAGACTTGGTAATTGTAACAGTGTTCCCTTTTGATGAGTTAGCAGGCAGCCTCTTCACTTTAAATTCTCCCAGGTCTCTCCCACCTGGAGATAGGATTCTCAACTTGTGTAGATTATGCGGAACTTGGTTCTCCACATTGGATATCTTCATGGTATTTGGGGATATAGTTGGCTTGACAAACTCAGCGATATTTATACCATTCTTCGAGGTATGTTTCATCGTACTGGGAAACTGTTGCGGTAATTGGAAGTGCCGTACATGTTCAAATGGCTGCTTTTTGCTCCTGTTCATCGAGATACACCTCCTCTTCGCCGGCGTTGGCCCTGATGAACTGTCCATTTACAGTCGCGATCCACAAAACGTCGACATAAAGCTTGCTCCTGATGGCTTCGCGCCACTCGTTTCGATCTCGCAGTGAAATCCCCTCAGAAGTATAACCTATGTTGAATAAATAATGGACTTAGAATGAAAACTTCCCTTGGATAATAAATAGGCAGACAATACTAACAAACTCAATCGTAGGAATGACTTATTAGCATTAGTTGTATATGCAATAATAAGAGAAAAAGGAATCACTGGTATGAGAAGGGACATCCCTGGGCCATCCCCTTAATTTACAATCGTCCACGATCGACTATGAGTGTTCGACATAAATTTCGGTGCACGTGCAAGGATGCAACGATGCGAAACTTAATGCTGTAAATGCTTTGTTGACCAATCAGAAGAAAGAATGGGCGAGTTCAAGACGGCAAAGCGGCTAGGTATGCTTGCCGAGCGATTGAATATAATTGGTTATTACTTATAGATCCAACCAATCATACTCGATCGCTCGGCAAGCGTACCTAGCCGCTTTGTCGTCTTGAACTCGCCCATTATTACAAATATTGTCCAATCAAAGAATGGTTTAAAATCTTTATCGCGTGGCGGCGTGTTCAGATTCCCACCCGAGTGCTCCCTGGGTGTCATGTCATTCTTGTTTAACATTTGGCAAACAATAAGGATAGAAGGATACCTGAATGGCACTCGGGTGGGAATCTGTTGCGGGATTCTCTAAACGTTTTATCGATTATTGTCACTATCGTTAACTACCGACAGCCAATGGCAGGACAATCCTAAAAGAAAGCGCGGCTCTTATTGGCTGTCGCTAGTTAACGATAGCGACAATCAGGAAGTAAGATATAAGGGTGCGTCCCGATGGAGAAAGAAATAGCAGAACGGAATGAGAACGGAACATTGATAGAAAAGAGATAGGATTGTTCTATCTCTTTTCTATCAATGTTCCGTTACTGATCCGTTCCGTTATTTCTGACTTCATGTGACTGCACCCTAAGGAGACTCCACTCCGTAAAATAAAAGTGGACCCATTTTAGGTTTCGAGTTCAGCTTCCGATTCTGATGAGTGCGAGTAAGAGAAATGATCATTTCTCTTACTCGCACTCATTATGCGCAGCACTACTAAATTCACGAGCGCTGCGAGTGTCGAGAATCGGAAACGGAACTCGAAACCTAAAATGGGTTCATGTCTTGTAGACTGGCGAGACCGAGTGGAGTCTCCTTATATCTTCCTTCATGGCGACAATCATCGATAAAACGTTTAGAGAAACCCGTAACTGAACATAGTTTGGAGTAGATCGCATCTCCAATTCCCAAATAAGGGCGACTTGCTAGATTTAACACTGCATCCGATGTGCGTCATACGACTCTTGCTGGATTCACACTGCATCCGATTTTCGTCGTACGACGATTCTGCAACCAATCAGAAAAATTGTGTCATCGATACGAAGCAAAATTTTGTTTCCTGATTGGTTGCAGAGTCGTCGTACATACGACGAAAATCGGATGCAGTGTGAAAATCCAGCATCTACAACCAATCAGAAAAATGGTCACGTTCAGCAGACTCAACTATTGCGGAGCGGATCCGTGAGCATTCGCTGCTATTGGTATATTCTTTTAGATCATCCAATAGTAACGAGCGCTCACGGATCCGCTCCGCAACAGTTGAGTCTGCTAAACGCGACCAATCATATTATCGATACGAAACAAAATTCTGTTTTCTGATTGGTTGCAAAGTCGTCGTACGACGAAAATATTGTAGATCCAGGGTTATGCAAAAGTTTGTATTCCTCGCTTTAAACCGACTTTTCATGCACAATAGTTTTTAACATACACCCACGTTTTTGTACGCTAGAATTTAAATTATATCTATATGGGGGGGGGGGAATTATATTGTAAAAAAATTTTAAGATTATTATATTAAATCATCAAACATATGAATACTTCGCTATTTATTATTCCAATAGCATCTTATATATTTTCTATAATTTTTGTATACATTTTTCAATATATCGCAATAACAGCCTCATTTTATCGCTGTTATTTACCGCTTGTAAGACAATAAATTTATAATCATAACATAATAGTGTTATTGTTGCATTTTTGTATAAATATGATCGTTTAAGAAATAATTATGATGTCATTACTCAATGCATTTAAGAATCTTTATACATACACATATCAATAAGATTCTTTCACATTTCGATCACATGTCGCATATTTACAAATCTGAATCGTATCAGAGCGCTGAGATTTTAACTTGTTACTTATGTTACACAAAGTTACTAAGATCAGGTAGGCAGTTACTTTTTATGGGCTATCACATGCCTACACTAATATGCCTAATGAATCCTGAATTCAGTTCTTCAATCAGCAATTGATTTTTTTAAATTAAACTGTAGAAATGCGTATTCACATTTTTTAGAGAAATTGATTTCTAAATATTCATTATATTACACACATTATACATCTACATGTACCATATCCATTCAATTGCGAACTATTAAAGGTTCGCTTTATGTGCAATATGATGCTCAACTTCAATATTTCGTTTACTATGCTCATTTCTCTTTATTTAACGCTTGAATAAATTCTTCTAATTTCTCTTGGATCTGCCTGACCCGTTCTAAAAATAAAAATGCTAATTAGCGACATAATTTAATATAGCAATAAGATATTTAAATACTTTCTATTTAATACTGATACGCGTTAATTTATTATTTTATATTTGATGTATTTGAACTACATAGAATTTATTAATAATAATATAAAAAATTATATTAAATTAATATATATAATATATAAAACTTTTAAAAATGTGGTTCTATTCGAAAAATAATAATTTCATAAAATAAGCATAATACCACACACAAGTTCTTATTTGTGATAAATTATTAATATAAAGTAAATAATTTATTCATATCAATAACATAAAATCTATATAAACGTTTTGGTCAATAATATAACCATCAAAATAAATATGATAATGAAATCGGCCGATGACGGTCGCAAGATTTTGGTTGCTAAATGTAATGTGTGAATTTTATTTACCACGTATGTAGTCCTCAATCGCGTGCTGAAATTTTTCCAGATTTACAACGCAACTCTAATCAACTATCGTAGTAATATCACTTTTTAGTTAAATTGACACAAGTAATCTAACAAATTTTTGATGCTTAAAACATCTTATTGGATCTTAATAATATGTTGAAAGACATATTAAAATGTTAACGATGTAATGTTAAATTAAAGACAAATTAAAATCTGTGAAAAAATAAGATTGCGAAGAATATCACAAGTTGGCGTCCCGGCTTCCCACTACTAGACTCATCAGTAAGATAATGTAGTGGTTACTACATACATGGTAAATAAAATTCACACATTACATTTAGCAACCAAAATCCTGCTTGACCGTCATCGACCGATTTCATTATCATATTTACTTTGATTTCAACATCGACGGTCTTACACAAATCTTAGTAATATAACCATCTTCAGTATAAAATTAAAATTATATAAAATAAACTAACACAAACTACATTTGTCAATTATTCGCTTACAACAACAATAATGCAATCTTATTCTTCTTGGTTCTTTCTTCATAGTTATAGTTTGTTACCAATGTACGTTAGCTTGTGTCCTCGTGATAAAATTTCGTCATAATTATACAATTTTTGATGAAACATAGTTACTAGACTGTATAATTAAACGTAATCTTATAATAACAAATTAAAGCAAGTAGTACAAATCTTTATAAATGAATACAATTTAATTCACCTATATTTCGTGCAAAATAGTAGTCAATTCCTAATGTACAGATAAAAAGTGGAGCGTCGGTGAAAAACTTTACTTTATAATAATTTATCACAAATAAGAACTTGTGTGTGGTATTATGCTTATTTTATGAAATTATTGTTAATATATATCTATATTTACTACATTAGAAAAATGTCTAAATCAATTCTAAAACCCAACACTTTTATAAATTACAAGAATAATTAACGATAGAAACATATTGCAATACATACTAAGTTCTTCTGCTAATGTGACTCGTCTGCCTGTGAGTAGCTTCTCCTTAATTTCGTTATCTTGACTATAATCCTCAAGAACTTCTTTAATCTCTTTGTCCAGTCTGCGAGCTTCTCTATTCATGATTTGTTGCCTCAGTGCATTTGCGGTGACTTTCAGCATTTGTTGAATCCGCCAAAAGAGCACTACGTCATTACATTCCATCTAAAAGAATTTTATTTATAAAAATGTTCAAATAGACAGATTCTAAAACGGTTATTTAAATGTACTCTTTTTTTATTCTTTTAACATACTTCGTTTTCATGCCCCGTATGATATAGATAATATCCTTTTCTACAATCATACGCTCTCGCTAAACTCTGTTGCAAGAAAAATCTTCTGTACACAGGATGCCACGTCTCTCGAATAAATTCATTGTCAATCTCTAATCCGTTTCTTTGTAAATTCTTTCTAACAGCTGTAAGTTCATCGTGTGTTAAAGTAGGTGCATGTTTCTGTAATCAGGAATACATGAAATAAATGTAGCAAAATTGCAACAAAGCTTTAATTAACTATAACTATCTATATATACGTACTTTGTCGGCGTAAAGAATTTTATCTAGCTCGTTCTTGACCGCCGAACGTTTCTGTTGCTCTTCGGTTTGGTTCTGCCAGTACATCCACCGTTCCTTGCGATTAGGGCCTAGCATATCACGCAGAATCTGTTCTGTACTTTGCAATTTTTCTTTAACTGAGGTTTCTAGAAAACGTACAGCTTGATCCCAATCACGTTTATCGTTCACGCTTCTATCCTCCAAGATATTAAGTTGAATAACACGTAGCATTTCTGATGCCTGAAAAAAATGCCTTTTAATACTCTCATTTATTAATATTATTAAAAAAAGTGAAAAAAAGTTGGAAATATATGTATAAATAGAAAAATAATTTTATATATTTACTTTCTCTTCCCACGAATGACGCCTCATTGCCTCATTTACTACAGCGTTCTTGAGGTTGTCGAAAATGCCATCGTGATCTGGACTAAGCCGAGCCTGTGACATAAAATTCTGAAATTCTTGCTGTAAACATTCCCATCCACTTTCGACGCTACGCGCAGGCAGTTGTTGTTCCGCCCAGTGTCTAAGTTTAATGTCGACAGTGGTATTGAACGCATCTATAACAGGAGAACATTAAACTTTAGGAAACTAAAGTCTCTGTCTGTCCAATGAAAAAATAATTATCAATATATACTATACTTGGATTTCCGCTTTGAGCAGCAGGTAGGTAGATATTTTCAAAAACATGCATACTGACTTTATCCCAATTTCGAGACATCAGTACTTCCTCCCAGTGTCTTGGTGATACCTGGGACAAATTGACTATCTCGTCCAAGATTTCACCTCGTGCCTTTTCGAAAAGCTCATCTCTATCCAGTTCCCTTAACCTAAATTTATAATGAAATAAATGGACGAAACTGAAATTGCTTCTTTTCATTACTTACCTAGGAAAATTGTTCTTCCATTCCGTTTCTAAATTGAATCTCGTAGCTTTAAATGCGTCTGCTTGTTGTTCCACTGTTTCACGAACCATTTTCCAAAAGCATTCGGCTACCGCCAAGCTCAAGTTTTTAGTGGTCACTTGACCAGACATTGCTAGACCATCTCTGAATAATCAGAGTTTATCAACACATTTAATGTCGTCAATATTTATGCATAAGTTTATGTCTAACTTACTTGAAAAGTTTGGAATTTCTAAAGAATTTTTCCTCGTAATCCTTGATCGTTTGTATACTATCATCTTGTCTGCCACGACCAGTAACTACGGCAAAGTAGCCCAATGCTTTCATTGGAAACAGTTTACCGGATAATATCTTGCGCAATCTGTCAGGATTAGTTAAATTCTCTTCTGCCATGTCAACCTGCCGCAAAATAACAACAATAGATGCAATGATATTTGCATTCATTAATTTTTTATATTATATAAAAACATTTCGTACTTTTGTCAAAACAAAGATCGTTCTTTTGCCCGATGGATCCATTTGAGCTACGAGATCGGTCACGTTGCTTCTTTCTGCATCAACGGAACCGTCTTGTATGCAGAGAATGATTGCATTAGGATTACTCATATATTGTTGGCTCATTTGTTTGATTGCTTCGCGAGTGTCTTCTGCCATATCAACGGTAACCGTCTGTCTCAAGAAAGTCACAATTTTGTAAGTAAATTTTTCTTGAATAATTATAATATAAAAGTATCATATACATACGCTAATAATACCAGGTAAATCGACTAGAACCATACGTTGAAGGCCGGGTCCTTTCACCGTCATGGAAATGACATCCGGGCTGACCGTTTTTCCGTTCTTTACGCTATTTTTCATTCGCAATTCTACCTCCCGCCTGAGTTCGGCTAACTCTGACTCCTTCGTGAGATCAAATTCTCTGGAGCTATCTTTGAATTGTGCTATATGATATGGACCTTCGCTCAATGTGACTTTGACTGGCGCTCTCGTCATCATTTCACCTCCACCTCTGTACAAAGATAGTAATGAGGATTATCAATGTTCTTTATGTTGTAAACGCGATATAATAATAATATATAAATGAAAAGTAGAGAAATACCTTGGAAATATCCTTGCTTGAGCAATCATTTCAAGCACGGATGTTTTACCGGAGCTTTGATCACCAACGACTACTACTCTAGGTAAATGATCAGCAGTGGAATAGGCACTATCGTAGTCATTAAGTTCATCCAAGACATCGCTATACATATCGATTAGTGACTTCTGTAAAAGCAAGAAAAACGTAGAGTACAATTAAAATAAATTACATATGCTATAATAAAATAAGATGTGTGCAAGTACTTTAATTTTTTTGTTGGTAAACTTCTGACTTCCTCGTAAAAGTATCTGCTTGCGTAATTCTTTATTCTCTCTTTCTAGTCTCTCTATTTCGCGTTGATATTTCAATTGCATCTGCATCAGCTCATCTTGCATGGCATCTATTCTCTGTTGCGAAGATTCTTAAACAGGAAAAGAAGAGAAAGAAGACATTGTGAGAATATCAAATAATTTTCGATCGTGGTGACGTAAAGCAATGATATGTACGTACGAGCTTTCTTACGTTCCTCCTCAGTATTATTATCACTAGCCAATGGACGTGCAAAGGCAACCACATTTTTGGACAAATGTTCTTTTGTTTCTGCTTAAAAATAAGACAGCACGTATTTTTAATTTGTAATAATTTGTAATTTTTTCTGCAAAAATGCAAGAAAGCTAGTATCAACAGATGTGAAAAATTAATAAAGACTATTTATGTGCATAAGCAGTTTTGTGTATAATGAAATTAAAATGAAAAAAAAAAAGAATAATATTGCCTTGTACATGTAAATAAAGTAGTAAAACAAAAGCAGTAAATGATTCTGTCCCATTTCATATTTAAAAAACGTATGTTTATTGTTATTAGCTTCTGCAGCTGTATTTAACGACTAAATATAATTTATTTTCTAAGAAAATTTTGCAGCATCTTATTTCTAATTTTCAAAAAGTTATTTGTCTATATTGTCTATAAAATGCTGAATGGACAGAGTATGGATAAAATAATTTCAATCTTTACACACCTGAATAACTTTGTTTTGCTATCATTGAGATGGTATCAAATGCACCTGAACAGAACAGACCACAATATTAACTATACAAATGTATGTGAAATATAGTGTTCTGTAGTAATAAATTACATATCATTAAATTTACGTAAAATATTTATTTAAAATTTAAATTTCTTTTTTAGAATGCAAATATCCCAATTAAATTTTACAAATAGACAAACAAAAATATATATTTATGTTAACACAAACTGCTTAATCATGCATATTTTTGTATACAAGCAATAAATGAACGTTATACATGAATTAATTACAACATTGAAGGAACTGGAAAGGAACTACATATCATGGCATCAATCTACATTTTGTAGTGATTTATTGGTAGGTAAGAAAATGTCAGGCAAATGGAGGAATATAATAACGGAAGAATGAATAGACAAAACAGGACATTTGGAAATAATTAGGTTATTAGAAGTAATGTGATATATGAATATATATCAAGGAATAGAAACGGCTTGTTAATAGGCTCGTCACTCACTCTGTATCGAGTTATTGTCTTGGTAATTATTTTGATGACTTTCCGTTGCCTTAATAGCGTCATCCAGTCTTTGATCAAACCAGGTCCTATATTCTCGATATTTAGTTACCCCAAATTCCTTTATACGTGGATCTGTTTGCATTTGCCAATTATTTTTATCGCAAATCATCTACGCGCTTTATTTTGCCTCACATTTTCACAAATAGCTGTAATATATTCGTCCTGCTTACCAATCTCGATCTTATCGGTCACATTGCTCCTCATTGTCATGAGTGATTCGCGAAAATCTTGCCATTGCTTTTCATTGGGCATTAGATTTCCTAGCCATCCTAAATCCGGTAATCCCTCCTTCCACTGTTCATATTTCTAAAACGATATTGTAATTATGATTATTGAAATCCAATAATCTCAATCTGCCGTAAATTGCCGGCTCGCATAAAGTAGCCACGGCAGTGTTGCTGCATTTAGCTTAACGCCGAGACACTACAATGTCTCCAGATAAATATTTATTAAATATAACTACATTTAATATTCATTAAGAAATGATCAATAAAAGGGTAAGAATGATACCAAAGAGGAAAGTTTGCAACATTTACTTTTTGTAAGGTAACGCCACCACCGACTGCACCTCCCAAGAGAAGGTATCGAATTTTTAACGCTCCTCTTAATATCTTTGTTATCACCATAGCATATCCGCGATATGGATTTGCGAAGTATCTTAGTTGTGGTGATGCTAGCAACGGTTTACAATGTCTATTAAATTTTCCAGACATTAATTTCCGTGTAGTAACAATTGTTATTGGATGTCTGGAAGTTTTAGAGACTAGCAAAATGCCATGGCTAAAAAATATATATTGATTCAATTAGGACACAGAAGAATCATAAATTATTCTTAATTAAGATTATGCAGTTTAAAGAGATTTGAGAAAAGAGAAATTCAAGAGGAAGACACAAAGAACATATGAAGTAATTACAACTTAAGAGAAAAGAGAAAAAAATTATGGTAATAAAAAATGAGTTTTTAATATAAATTTGAGTAAATATACAGTATAACGCTATCTCTTTTACTTTTTTTATATTTTTGTAAATTCGTGTATCTTAAATTTGTTTTAAATAACGACAGAGAAGTACCACGTTCTAACCTATCATAACGAACAGTTGCTCCATTATGAAAAGTATAAATTACATTCAATTCAATCATATCATTTTACGTAATGTAAACATTTAGTAAATGAAAAACGCTTCGTCAATTTATTTATTTCAATTATAATCACATATATCTCACCCGAATTTGCCACAAATGATCTGCTCCATTTTATCGGAGCAATCGTTACTTGTCGTCGATGAATAACGGCGACTACGGTAGCCGACAAATATTGATACACGTGCATGCGTTACAAGATGCGTGTGACGTAAGTCAGGAAATCAAAAGTATAAAATGTTTTCGAAAAGCCGACGATTCGGGCGTTACATACTACATCCCGATCCCGATTCATCCACTTGTTCGGAAACGTTGGTTTCCGAACCGTTGCGGAGTGGATCCGTGAGCGCTCACTGTTATTGGTATATTCTTTTAGATCTGCTCCGCAACAGTTGAGTCTGCTTCATTAGAAAGTTGCATCATTGGCTGCGGATTCAGCAGACTCAAATAGTTTTACAACCGTTTTATGATTCGTCTCGCTGATTATACTTTTAGATCTAAAGGAATAGTTCTATCTCAGCGAAGAATCATAAAACAGTTGTAAAACTCGAATCTGCTGAACGCGACCATTGCCACCACACAAGATTGCCCCTCGTTTCTCTCAAAAGTACTACTAAGTCACGGCGAAAAAATTCCTAGATTTTTAAGGATCGTACATAACTGCGTTCAAAGTTTTTATCCATTTTTTTTTTATAAATGTCTCATAGGCGTCTCATCCTTTTGTTTTATCCAAATTGTCTTTATTTACACATGGCACGTAACAAAACAAATTAACATATTATTTCTCGCTTATGACGTTACGATTCAATATGATGACTACTTAGGAGCTTTAAAAAGGGATATTTGTATGTCAGGGCGACACTGCTCAGATACTAAAAAAATTAAATTTTAATTAGAATGGGAAAAGGTGTACCTTGAACATAAATCTTTGACTACTGTAATATATTATTTAGAATTAATCGAAATTATATATTCTTTAACGAAAATATATATAGAAATACATTTAAAAACACATCTCTTCCTTTCTTAAATTTATAAATTGAAAGACGGAATTGTCGAATAATTTTATTTTTCTTTGCAATCCTTATATTACAAAACATACTTTTCCAGACGCATTGAAAATATGCTCTATTTACATTGGGTCGTCACCTAGATTTGTGCTAAAGATTTTCATTCTTTTAAATTTTTATACAGAAATAATATAAATCACTATTTTCGCATAGGCTTTCATATTACATATATATATATAATTATATATTATATAATTATATATATATTATATATCATATTATATATAAATATATGTATATATATATATAATATACGAATTATATATACATATTATAAATAACATGATATATATACATACATATGATTATGGCAGTACATTTACATTTAAAGTTTATAACCATTTTTTTCTATCACTTATACATACATACATACATACATACATACATACATACATACATACATACATACATACATACCTCTATATATATATGTATATATATATATAACATTTTCTCGTAATATATGAAAATCTACATACTTATGTTTTATGTGCACGAGGCGAGTACGAAAGGAAAAAGAATAATGTTCAGTTTTACGCATTAACAAAGCATCCGTTTTTCCGCGAATCCACGTGGCTTCATAGCTGGCCAGGTATGCATAAGCTTTGAGATCTAGAAAGTTCGTAAAAATAACGTGCAAAAGGTCAAGAAAGGTTCACCTGATTTTTTTTTAGCGAGCACTTAAGTTCCCTTGAACGCGGTATTTTTCATCCTCGAACGTTATCTCCGCGAGAAGTTTTTCTTTTTTATTTCATTGCGATATGTAAGAATACATACGAACATGTAAGAATATGCAAGAATATGAAGAAATACATTTTACGAATCACGAAAGAAGCTGATACAAGCGCTAAACTCGATTGGACCCGGTTTTACGTTGTCCTTTCCTAAATAAGCAATTGTGACTGAT